TCAAATGATCAACCACGTTCCGTTTCAACCCTACAAGTGAGTGAACAATGTGAATCAAGGAAGGGATTTTATTTTACTATTCAAGATAGCCAGACTAGCCAGATTTTGTTTGGCCTGCACTTATTGTTTTTATACATGTCTTACCCAGGGCGAGGTTCTTGGCAGTGATGTCGGAGCAGGGATGGTAATACTGCACCAACCAGGCGATGCCCACCACCGCGTACACCAGCTCCACTAGCAGGATGGCTGCAGAGAGGAGGAACAATTAATGTCAAGGGTTGATTTAGGGCCTAACCACATAGAGTTTTCATCGTAAAACCATGTTGCACTGTAAATTTGCAGTGAAACAACGCAACCCAAAAAAATCTTGTTATGGTAAGCATTAGGATTATTATTGCTCATACTTTGTTCATTGATTTGGTCAAACCTCAAAACTCAAATGGAAGCTTGTTTCCGTCATGAGATAAAAAAATAAAAAGGGTAATTGTGAATTATTGTGAACTTTTCTTGTCTGAATTGCATGATGTTAACTTGCAATTGTAAGTTTGTAACTTACAATAATGAGATATAAACTTGCAATTCTAACAAGTCGATAAAAAGTTGCAGTTACCTTTTTAATTTTTATTATTTTGCAGAAACAACAAAAAAACAGAATCGCAATATATAAACTCAGAATTCAGAGAAAAAAAGTCAGAAGTGCAAGACGTAAATTCAGAATTCTGAGGGTTTGCAATTGCGAGAAATTTTTTTAATTGTGAGATAAAAAGTCGCAACTATTATGTTAAAACATAAATATTATTATGTTTTATTCTGTGGCGGCAGAACATTTTTAAAAATGATTTAATGTAAACTCAAAATTCAGTGAAAAAAGTCAGAAATGCAAGATGCAAACTTAGAATTCTCAGAAAAAAAACAAGTCAGAATTGCAAAATGTAAACTCGCAATTATGAGTTTATAACTTCCAATTGCAAGATATAAACTTGCAATTCTAGGAAAAAAATGCTTGAATTGTGAGATATAAACTTGCAATTACAAGAAACAAAAGTCAGAATTGTGACATAAAAAGCCGCGATTACCTTTTACATTTTTTTATTCCATGGTGAAAACAAGTTTCCATAAACCTCTAATCCATGTGTGTGAATCAGAAAAAAACGCCAACGCATGCAATTACTGAACAAAATAGTCAATTTTAATTGGATTGAACTAAGAGCTCAGGATTATTTCACTGAGCTCACTGCAATACATTCTGGGATTGCTTTCTCTAAAAAGGATACTTGCAATGCTGCCTTCAAATTTGGAATAGAATTTACCACAGAAGCAGTCTATGATGCCTCAATGCAGCCATTGCAGGCTAGTTAACAGAGCTGACGTGTGAGATCGCATATATATTCAGAGAACTAGTGGAAGTTTTTTTCATGGTTGTTTTTATGGTAAATGTGCAAGTGTGTGTCTTACCCAGCCGTATATAGAGCACGTACTGCACAGCCTCTCTGGGTTGTGTATACAGGATGCTGCCTCTCATGCTCAGCCACATGATGGCACTCTCGCAGATCAGACAGCTGACCAGGATGCCCAGGTAACCGCGACCGTGATCCACCAGCGTGACTGAGCATGATTGCTCTGAACTGTATGGCAGCCCAAAGAGAACCATGGACAGAACCACGAGCCTGCCGAAAGAGCACAGCTGTGACATCACATGAACATACACATGATCATACACACCTCGGAAATCTAATATTTATGACATGATGTGCGTTAAGAAAGTGATTTTCAGAATACAAATGAACGTGTTGGGCAATTTCATATTTCACATTTATTTTCCATTTCCCAACAAAAATAGTTAAGTTTATATAGAGCCAAAGATTAGGCTACTTCATGCAGTCAATGCTTTATCTGTGTACTTAATTACTCTCAGTGTGACACAGAGAATCTTGGGAAATCTAATTTGGTTGCACGAGTTTGTCGCCTCAAAATAGCCAAAATGAGTATAATTATTGGCAAGCTTTATCATTATTATTCATTAACAGCTAACAAAATGTGTATAAAAAAATAAACAGTAATAACAATCACAACTTATTTAAATCAATACCTACAATTTACACAACTCAACTCAGGAAAGTCAGTTGCTCAAATAACCTAGAGTTTTATAATCATATTTATGCTGATAAACTTTAAAAAAATCAGAACAGCTACTTATGATGCAATTCTACTTGAAGCATAAACGGAACAGATTTGTCTGTAAATGTTAAACCATTTCTTATGTAAACTGTCGCATTGATTAAACTAAATATATATTTTTACATAAGCATTGTTATAAATGCTAAATATGTTATAATTTACATAAGCATTGATACACATACATACATTTACATACACCATATACATACCGTTCAAACGTTTGGGATCAGTAAGATTTTGAATGTTTTTTAAAGAAGTGTCTTATGCTCATCATGCATTTATTTGATCAGAAATACAGTAAAAACAGGTAAAAAATATGTCTGATATGGTCTGATTACTTGATTCAAGCATGTATGTAAAAGAACAAACTGTACAGACAAACACAAACGCAGACTCACCATATGCAGTGTAGTATGAACAGGAAGAAAGCTGGTAACACCAGGTCATCACTGCCGACTGACCAGCGTCGCCGAAACAGTACCATGCCCGGCATCACTGCCCTGAAACACACGTCAACACACCCCAGTTACGGACCGCCTGACACATGCGACTCACACACAGTAAGACTTCTCATTCACCACTTCTTCAATTCTGCAATAACGAGAGACGAGAGAAACACAAGGCCAAAAAAGAAGAAGGCAGAGCACATGCACACACTAAAAGCATGGAAGTGCGATTGCAGAAAAAAACTCCTCAGCTTACATTCGAGAAAAAAAAGGAAAAAAAAAAAAAA